TATATAATGGTAAGATAATATGACTCGAAATTGACCTTTGACTCAAAATAATGCACATGCGCGTATTCGAAATAACGCGCAGGTGTTCAAAATAACGCGCAGGTGTGCGTTATTTCGCAGTTTTACAGTAACTTATTTCTAGTAAAAACAAAGAAATAGATTTTCAAGTCAAGTGTTTAATTGCATGTTACTATTTGTAGACCAATTTTACTGAACTGTTTTTCAATTTCCTTATTTGGAAGATCTACATAAATCAACTAATTAAATCGTAAAATTTTTACAAAGCAAAGAAAAACAAAAAAGACTGAAAACACAAGAAACGGGTATCTAAACCTGTCTTAAAGCATTAATGAAAAATGTGTTAGAGAAATTTTACCTATAATTCTAAATCTAATCTCTGGCCTCTAAGCAATTTTAATCATAATTTTAATTGCTTCACTAACACCCTTCCAAATAAGGGCAATGTCTAAAATGGAGGCAAATCACATGATTGACAGCCAATCAAATTATAGAATTTTGATGATCGCTGGCGAAGCAAAACAAGAAATAAAAACGAAAAACCTGAAAAATACAAAAAATGGCAGTTGAAACCTGCCTTGGATAGGTTAATTAAAAATGTCGGGAGAGCAATTTTGCATATATATAATCACCTAAAACCTAAACTAACCCTGATATAGGCGACCCTAACTCTAAAGTTAATTGAAAACTTTATTAAATATGAGTTGTCTCCGCTTTAGATGTCTCCCAAATAAGGAAATTTGAAAACTAGTTCGGTAAAATTGATCCTATTTGTATAGCGATAGGCATAATAATATTACAAAAGATAAAAATTATACTTTTTAACTTATCAAAAGAGGTCAAAAGATATGAATAAATAATTTTCAAAATGAATGCTTTATTAGCTTTTTTAAAAAATATTCAAAGATCGTGTTTTCTTGATTAAACTAAGATATAATTTTTATTGCAAATTATTATAACTTTAATATTAATAATTATTATTAATCTGTTAGATGGTACAAATTTAACAAAATTCTGCATATTTGCAGATTTTTCATTTTTTATATCTTGAAATTTTTGGTCTCATATCATGGCTCTTGATATAAAAATATTTCAAGATAACTTCTATCTATTATTTCCATAATATTGTGTATTATTATATATTATTGCTTTTGCTATAATTAGAGGAGTATTTATATAATTTGATTTTTTTATATCTTATTATAATTTGATTTTTTTATATCTTATTTAATATATATATATTTTTTTTTATTAGAATAATGTTCAAGTAGAAACTTTATTACATATAGAATCATAAGTTCTAAATTTAAAGATTTTTAAACTACATTTGTGCTACAAATAAAGCACCCAATGTGACATTACACCCCTATTTCCTATGAATGCTATAGCTAACTATTTCAAATTAGATTCTAGCTAAGATAGGTTGGAGGAAACCTTCAAGTGATTGTCTGAATATTAGTTAATATAAGAAGTTATTGAGTGGCCCTCTAAGAGCTATTTGGTAATAAGAGAGTTAGTATTAATAGGTTGAGAAGAAGTTGTAATGTTGTTTGAAAGATAAGGCAAAGTTGGTAGGCTAAATTTAATGCATTTGGACTTTGATGTAATATTACGAGATTGTTCCTATTGGTGTTGATATATATTACGAATAGACCACAGGTCTTGATGAAACCAGTTAAGGAGATTATTTGAGAGGTGAATTAGAAAAGTATCTGTTTGTTTATTGATAAGTGTTTTAATATTATCATATATAGTAGAAGAATAAGTTCCAGTAATAGCATATAGAATATATTTGTATTGAGGATTTGAGGAGTTAAGTGTAAATTTTAAGAGAGTATTTAATAGAGTTGTTGAGGTTATGTTGGTAATTTGAAGTGATAAAAGAGTATTATGTATTGTGTTGTCAAGTGATTGAGAGATATTTGTAACATTGCTAGGGTATGAAAATAGGTGAAGAGTATCTTCAGTATTTGTACAACGAGAGCAGTTGGGTGTAGTATAGAGGTAAGGATATCGGATATTAAGATTTTGCATAGTAGGTAAGTTATTGGAAAGAATTTTGATGCGAAAAAAGTATTTTTGTAGGTTATCTTCAAATGAAGAGATAATTTTAAAATTAAGTGCCCATTTAATATTAATAATATTTTGAAAGAATTTTAAATTTGACTATTTGGCAATTTCTTGAATAGTTATAATGCTTTTAATAAAGGTACGAACTTTAAAAGGAATTAAGAAGTTGTTCTATATGAAATAATTTGGAGTATTAAATTTTGAGTTATTGAACTTAATAATTAATTTTGCAGTTCCTTGTTTAGCAAGTGAGTCTGCTTGGTTGTGGAAAGAGCCTGTAGAGTGTGATTTAACTTTATAAAAATAATAGTAATGTTTTTTAAATGTTTAAGGTGATTAATATAATAAATAGTGTCTCAGTTTTTGGTTTGTATAAGTTTGAAAGTAATAGTTGAGTCAAGATTTTTGATTGCAGTTGTATTATCAACATGAAATTTAATGAAATATTAGATGAAACTGCGAATAGGAGAGAAAGAATTGCTTCAAGTTCAATGCGAGTTGAGTCAGAATAAGACTGTGTAGCTGCATTAAATTTTATAGATGTATCATATTTGCAAATCTATCCTATACCAGATTTGACGTCTGGGGTTTAAAGATTTTTAATTGATCCATCAGTATAAAAATGTAGTTTATTTGTATCAAGTTGAGTAATAAGGAGGTTTAGGTCAATCAAATGTTTTTGGTATGTTGGTGTATGAACAAATTGTTGAATAAGTTGGACTTCATATGATGGTAGGATTATTTGTGGTTGTAGTAACACAGTTGATTGAGAGGTAATGGTATTATGTATATGAATTAGAGCTAAGATCTCTCTAAAATCGATTTGAATGGTTAATGGATCATTTGATTTATTAGTTAAGTTATAAGGTAGATAAAGAGAAGGATAGTTGAATGTTGAGTGGCAGGAGGTTGGTAGAAGTTGGGAAAAACCTGAAGTGGATAGAGAAATTTTGAAAAGAAAGGGTTGTTGAAAAGTAGTTTGATAAGAGATATAAGGTGGTTGGTTATTTATATAATACAGTTGATAGAAAGAGTATAAGTTAGAAGATGAGAGTGGTGATACTAATTTAGTTGTATGAAGAAAAAAGTTTGTAGAGGATAAGTTTAGGTAGGGCCATGTTAGATTAATAGCATTAGATTGATTTAGTTGTAGAATCTGGATAAACCATTGTGGTTTACATCCTTTGATAGATTTATTTGTATATAGATAAATATTATTCCATGGAAGAATATTTTTGTTATCTGC